GAAAGAGTGAGAGAGAAAAAAGAAAAGAGAGAGGAAGAGCGAGGTAAAGAGAGAGAGATGTAGGGGGGAGGGTATAAGGGGGTAGCAGCTGGTACCTGGTGCAGGAGCCTTGAAGTTTCTGGAACCACTGCTCCCCGCTGCTGGCACTCAGAAGTTGTTTCCTGGTCAGGGGGCAAAGGTCAATCAGCCCCGCCCCGCCCCTCCAGCTCCTTCTGATCCACCATCTCTGGGCCCCTGCACCCCAGGACAGCCCAAGTCGGGCGTGGCTGCTGGAACAGGTCAACAGGAGCTGTTGTCCGCTCGGGCCTGTCCCGGGGTCCCTTTGTCCACGCGGGGCCATGGGGTCACATGGGCAGCGCTGCCCGTGGTCTCCCCCTCCCAGCCAAGCAATTCCCAGACCCACGTTTGGATCAGGCTCATCCCCAAGGTTCTCCCTGGGGCCCCGATGCTCCGGGTTCTCCCTAACGGTTACCAGGAGCCCTCGTCCCTCTCACCCGACGGGACTGTCCTCAGGGGCGTCCGGCGGTCACTGTCCCACTTCCCCCAGGTGTCTGGCATGTAGACGTCTCCCTAGACCGTCCGGAGACCCCAGAAGCTCAGCGCCCTATAGGCTGCACTGAAACGTGTCCAGTCAGGGGGATGCTGCCCGGCTACTGCTGTGCTGACTGGGTCCTCGTCATCAGTGGCTCTGTCCCCTCCCCGAACCGGATCTGGGCTGAGTCCACATGTGCACAGAGATGCCGGTGGAGGGACCAGGATGCCTCAGAGACCCTCTCAGATGCCCAGAGTCCCCCTCAGCCCACAGGGCACCTGCTGTGCTTGGGGGAGCTCCTCTGTGAGGGGAAACGGGATGTGGGTTCTCCCTGAAGTCCCTGGTTCCCTCAGGCCAGGACAAGAGACCTTCTCCGAGGGACATTCTCATAGGATACAATCATATAGGCCCATCCCAGGTACGAGTTCGTGTAGGAGGTTTGTGGGGAGGGTCTTTGGGTTGGTAGAAGGGTCGTACTGTTGTAACCTGTTCTCAGGGAACACATTTGTCTGTATTAACTCAGTGTGGGATAGCACAGCAGTAGGGCATTTGCCTTGCGCACAGCCAGCCCAGTCAAGCCGAGTTCGATTTCTTCGCCCCTCTCAGAGAGTCCAGCAAGCTACCGAGAGTATCTCACCCACACGGCAAAGCCTGGCAAGTTACCCATGACATATATATTCAAAATGCCAAGCACAGTAACAAGTCTCAAAATGGTGATGTTACTGGGCCCACTCGAGCAAATTGATGAACAACGGGAGGAGAGTGTGACAGTGTTAACTCAGTGTACCTTGGTTGATGTTGATATTCATGAGGAGGAATCAGAGCTGAAGGCCTGTCTCAATCTGAAGGAGATCGATCAGGTGGGTGACACAGGGTCCAGTGCTCACCGAGTGAGGAGTATCCAAGTCCGTGACAGTCCTTATTTGTGAGCCTGACCTCTGCCCTGTCCCTAAACTCTGAGCAGACAGAGCTCATCCCCTGAGAGACAGTCCCGCCAAGCCACTCCCTCAGGTGACCCACCTCTGTGCAGGCACAGAAACCACTAGTCCTGACGTTGGTTTTTATATCAGAGTTTGGATACCTCCATGCTCCGTGTTTGAAAGTTAGATTTCCCCGCAATAGTAATCATTGTAATCAATAGATTGATCTCATCACCAAGCTCTGTAAGCTTGTAGAGCCTCAAGCAGTATTTGAAATTGTCTTTGAATTATTGTCATTATCTTTTTTGTTGTTGTTGTTCAATTCTCCTAATAATATCAATTATTTATGAACAGTTCAGCCTGTCATGCACAAAGTCCTTCCCTGGGGTTAATTTCATTTGTTTTAATTGAATCAGTGAAACCCAGGACCTGAGATAACTGCCACTCACCCCCCTGTGCCTGCTGCTGGGCTGCAGCCTTTGTGGGGACTTGAGAGTCCCCTGCTGCTCAGTCTCCTTCCGTTGTTTCAGTGACCAATTGCCTTGGAATATCTGGATTTCTGGGGGCTCCTTGGAGGGCTGCCACCAGGTCACTGTCTCCACCTCATTCCTCTTGTGGGCCCTGCAGCGCACCTCTGCTCTGATTACAAAGAAATCATATCCCTCGCTGCTTCTGGGGCTGAACCCGTGTGTAGTCTTGAGTTGGGGCGACCCCTCCTGGGGACTCTCTGGGACAAGTAGGGCTGCATGCACTCCTGACACTGCCACCATCTTCCTCCATTCCTCCTTAGCAGGGGAACAGGCTCCCAATGTCCATGAACTGTCTGTCGAAGACCGCAGCTGGTCCAAGCCCTGAAACACAGTCGCCATGACCAGGGAGAATAATCAGGACACAAATATGATGCACTGTCAGGACCGAGTCCAGGTCAGGCCCAGGCATCGTCTTTCTAAGGTTTGTGCAAGTCAGGCTCCGAGGGAAACCATTTCTGCCCAGTACTCACTCATGGTCCAGATAAGGGCTGTCCCAGGGCAAACTGCATCTAACACAGAATTTACACACCCACAAGAAGGACATCAGAAATCTTTGAGTAATTAGTGGGTTCCAAATGGTTTTAATATCAAAGTAAGTAAAGTAAAAGTAAAGTAAAGGCCCTCCCGTTGATCGTCGATTTGCTCGTGTGCTATAGGGCGTTCGCCTTATAAGCGGCCAACATGGCCGACCCGAGTTGGATTCCTCCGCCCCTCTCGGAGAGCCCGGCAAGCTACCGAGAGTATTCGATATGCCAGACACAGTAACAACAAAGTCTCCAATGGAGATGTTACTGGGCCCGCTCAAGCAAACCTGGAAGTGAAATATCAAAGTAAAAACCAAATAATTCATCCATGGAAGTATTTCATTTGTTTTTAATTATTTCTACTGGCATGGTAAAATTTTCCCAGTCATCTCCCATATGATTTTGAACCTGTAAAAATTCTGTATGTAGGTATCCAGCAGATACATTAGCTGATTATACACAAAACTATCATAATCTCTGACAAGTAAGTTTCTTTGATATATTATGCAGAAGAGAATTAACTTTAATCCATGACTTTGTTTATCAGTATCAAAATTGTCATTGGATTCATTAAGGTAGAATTGTCCATTGTTAGCAATGTGAAACCTGTATACCAGGACAATAATATCCCTGTATCACTGTCATCCTGCAGTTCATCAGTTACCTCGAGCAGGCCCCAGTAACGTCTCCATCGTCCTAGTTCTGAGATTTTAAAAAAGTGCCATTTTCGAGGATCTTTCAAGATCTGGAGAATGAGGCCTTTTATTGTTACTGGGTTTTGGCGTATTGAATACACCATGGGGAGTTTGCCGGTCTCTACCATGTGGGCAGGATACTTTTAGTAGTCTGCCGGTTCTCCAGAGTAAGAACTAGATAATAAGATGCTTCTGGGAGCAGAATTTTATCGTATCTGGGTCTTGGCCATTGATGGGATTACACGGCACTGGGGGCAGTTGGTGGGTGGAATGTCTACCTACTGGAAGATGGGGGATCTGGGTGGAGGAGGCCCCAGTCCCAATCCGAGCAGGCTTGTAGATATACACCCCAGGTCCTGCACACCTGGGTTTCTCTGCTGGTTCCTTCATGCGTGAGGCTCGTCCGAACGTGTGGAGAGTGGTCTTAAGCATGGCTGTGTCTGGAACCGGAGATCTTCAGCTGCCGGAGCTCTACTCGGGGTGAGGAGGGAAACTCAACCCACACTCCTCCAAGGGTCCCTGGTGAGGACAGCCAGGCACGGAGGCAGGAGAATCTGTGCTGTTCTTTACCAGGACAATAACAATTCTGCAATATTTTCCCAACTTTGCAGAGATGTCTGCTAGCTGATGTCCCTGGCATAAATATGAGAGAGATATCCTTCATGGTAGTCAACACTCGGCATTCCTCTTGGCCAATGACTGAAGGTGGGTTTGAACTCTGTGTAATTATGGAAATTTCCAACTAGTCGTTTAGTTGCTCCAAACCAGCATTGTGTTATTGACTAAATGCCTCTCAGGAAAACGTGTTCCATGTTCAGGAATAAGTAAGAACTTTAGGATAACGAAGCCAGTGGTTGTTGCCTTGAGAATTGGAAATTCTCGGGTGACATCTAAGAGTAGCATCATGTAGAGAGGAATGAGGGTAGAACCGAGGCACTGCACTATGGTAAGCAGCAGCGGAATTTTATGGCAGGTGAATTAAGGTGCCACACCCCTTCACCTGGAAGTGCTGAGTTCTGGCATTGCCAAAAGGACCCCCTGAAACTTGCTCAGGAACCTCTGTTCTGTCACTTAGGTATCAGGCTCTCCGCACACATCCCCCTGTGTCTCTGCACTCTCCGAGTGAGGCATTTCCTCAGCACGGGCATGACACCTCCAAGGACAGGGGTCAAAGAGACAGAGGGAGAGGCACGCGGGGTTCACAATGCTGCATCGTGGTCACAGAGAAAAAGTCACAGCGAGATTGGGACAGGACATAGAGATGCTCTCATTACCCAACACCACGTGATCCTGGACTTCTGACCTTGGCCACTACTCTAGTGTTACCTTCTCCACACCCCGTGTCTAGTGGCAGGATTCAAGCTCAGAGACACAGAGATGAAAATATGCACAAGCGGCGGGGCACACAGCCTCTCAGAAGGGGTCTCCCAACACTGGATTCCATCTCAGAGAAATGAATTTCCTGCTTGCCCACAGCAGGTGAATATGTGAATATTGAGATGCTGAGATGTTTTCTACTTTTACATATTAGTTCCAGGAATGTCCATGTCTTCAGAGACAAATCACAGAAAGGAGATCAGGAAATCAGGGGTAGACAGGCACAGACATTGATGCACCCGGGTCATTCCTCCACTACAGGTGGTTTCCTGTGTTTCCATGTCCTGCCGAGTACCACAGGTGTGATGCTGAGAAGTGGAAACGATGCCCCCAAAATGTAGAATAATCAAGGATTTTCCTGGGGCTGGAATTATGGTCCCAAACCTGAAATGGTCCCAGCACACACTGACATGTGTTAGCTCCTATGGTAACTGAAACATAAGAAGCACAGCCATACAGGAAACAAAATGAATGACTCTTCTAGAGGAAACAGTGCACGAACCTGCAAAGCCCCCAGCACATACTTACAATTGGTACTTTCACTAGCTCTGGGAAGCACCAGTGTAGAATCCAACAAGAATATATGAGTGACTCCAAGTGTTCTAGAGAGAAGCCATCTTCCTCTTGGCTGTTGCTGAAGAACAGAGAGAGTTCCTGAGCCTTCCCTCAAATGAAGTCCGACATTGTGAGCCCCATTCTGTGTCTCAGACCCTGACTCTCTGAGGAGGAAGTCAGGAGGATCAGCGTCCCTGTCATCTCCTCACCCAGAACAGCTGCCTTCCCCTCAGTTTTCTGACACACACAGGATGTGGTTGTCACACTGTGTCACTCGCACAGTAATACATGGTCGTGTCCTCAGTGCTCAGCCTGCTCAGTTCCATGTAGGCTGTGTCCTTGGACCTGTCTGCAGTAAGTGTGAGTCTGCCTTGGAACTTCGGTGCATAGTTTGTACCATCATTCTTAGTGTTTATGTCTCCCATCCACTCAATTCCTTGTCCCGGGGTCTGCCGCACCCAACTCATCCCGTAGTCGGTGAAGGTGTATCCGGACGCCTTGCAGGAGATCTTCACTGATGTCCCAGGTTTTCTCACCTCAGCCCCTGATTGCACCAGCTGCACCTGGGAGTTCACACCTGTGGACAGCAGACAGGAGTAGGTGGACTCCACTTGACTGGCCCTGTTCCCTCAGCTCAGGGCATGGGGACACTTACCTGCAGCCACTGCCACCAGGAAGATAATTCTCCAGGTCCAGTTCATGGTGGGGACTGTGCACTCAGGGACTTCTGAAGGTGTGGGTGTGCCTGCTCTGTGAGGTTGTCAGGACACAGTCACATCTGTATTTAACTCAGTGCCCCTCGTGTAATTTGCATATTCATGAAGAGGTAGAATTCATAGCTGAATATCTGGTCCAACCTGAGAAGGAGCTGTGGAAGCCACTGGGTCTATTCTCAAGGGGAGAAAAGATGTCCACGTTCTGATTCTTGTTTGAGGAGACGAGACCCTGTACTGTCCCAGGACTCTGTGCACACAGAGCTCCCCATCGGAGGGCCAAGCCCTTTCAGGACCTTCCCCTCAGGGACCCCACATCTGTATGGCCTGGACACATCTGGACACACCTGGGCTTTGAAGTTATTTTTGGGATCCTGGAACACCCCAAGGGATACTATACTGAGACTACAAAACCATTCTAATGCTCTAGTGGTTTTTATTAGAGATAGTAGGAAGTCAAGAAACAACACCTGCATACAAGTTTTACTGCTTATCAATTAATAAGTGTTTCTCCCTAAATGATAAATGTGCATAATTTATCCTCTGTCTTCTATACTTATTTTAGTTTGGTTTTATTTAAGTTTGGTTTTCTTGAGAAAGTAAAATTTAGTTTTATTGAAGAAAGAAATCCATTCTGAGGAGATTTCTGTCTCTCTGTCCCCATTTCTCCCATCTCTGCACCCCTTCTAGCCTGCAACTCTGGTCTTGGGAATCGGCGCTCTCTGCATCCCAGTCCCCACCGTGCAGAGAGAGTCTCTGGGCTCTCTTGGTGTCTCTAACACAGGATTGAATCCTGGGAGTCCACTTCAGAAGCCTTGTTCATAAGTCGTATTCTTTTATGGGCTTCTTTTTTGGTTTTGAGGCGCACCGGGCAATTCTGAGGGCTTATTCCTGGCTCTGAGTTCAGGAATTGCTCAAATAGATGTGTCTTAGGAAAATATAGGTGAATAAAGTAGTTATATATATGAAAATAAAAAAGTGATACTGAGTGTTGTTTGTTCAGATTATGTAAAAGTAATACAATAAATACTTAATGCACTAAATAATAATAAAAACCATCTAATAAAAGAGGATTTAAGTCTTTAAGTAAAGACTTTAATATAAACAAAATATATTAAATTTGTTAAATTAAAGAGTTTTTCAAAAATCACATGATTCTAACACAGCCACCAAAAAGTTTATTATATAACTGAATTAGTAGAACAAACTATGTAAATTAGAAATGAATAGTATACAATTAATAAAGTTTTATGGCACATATGACTTGAACTCTGACTTTTTCAGTGATACAGAATTTAAAAATTTATTTAAAGAAATTTACTTAGAGAAATGCAAGGGGAGAGAAAGAGAGAGTGTTCACGAGAGCACTTGGCTTCTCCAAATAGGAAAATCATTGAGTTCTGAATTCTGGTCAGACATGTTAGAAGTCTGGAAAACATCTTTCCACCCACACAAGTAAAATCCTGAACAAGTGAAATGCAGAGATTCACTTTCTGTCTCTCTGTGAATAATAGGAAAAGAAAGAGGGGGGTGAAGTGAAATGGTATTATCTAAAGAAATTCACTTAAGGAAATTCAAGGAGGGGCAGAGAGAGAGAGAGAGAGAGAGAGATGGCACAGGATTGGCCGACAGAGGCAACCAATACACAGAATGTTGTCATCATGTGAGACATATTTCTCCTTTATGGTCCCTAGGATCCTATACAGGTTCTCGCTCTCTCCCTCTCTCTCTTCCCCCCCCTCACTCTTTGGAATCTATGAATTGCAATACAAACACTGAAAGGTTATCATGCATATCCCTTTTCCTACTTTCAATGCTCGTTCTTGTCCAGAGTGACTGTATCTAACTATTCTTGTCATACTGGTCCGTCTCTGTTCTTCGCCTCCCACACACTTGGAGCAAGTTTCCAACCATTGACCACTACAGATCCTGTGTTTCCTGGCATAGAATATTAATCTCTTACAAAAGTTTAAGTCCCACAGAAGAGTGCAATTATTTTATATTTGTCCCGTTCGATCTGACTCATTTCACTCAGCCTGATACTCTGCATGTCCCTCCATTTACAAGTGAATTTTATTATTTAATTTTTCCCGGTGGCCACATAGTATTCCATTGTGTAGATGTACTATATTACATCAAGTCATCTGTTCTCACATACTCGACTTGTTTTAAAACTGCCTGTTGTGAATACAATATTGTGATGCAGTAAACACGAGCATGCAAATATATTTTGAAATGAGTGTTTTGGATTCTTTGGGGTCAATGCGAAGAGTGGAATTTCTGGGTCATATGGAAGTTCAATTTCTAGTTTATTGGGCAGTATTCAAGTTTTTTCAGGAATCAGTCCTATTGCCAATCCCACAAGCAGAAAATGAGAATTGCATTTCCCCCGCATCTATGCCAACACAGAATGTTTTGATTCTTTGAGATTTGTAATCTTCTCCCTGGTATGAGGGGTATCTCATAATTATTTTAATTTGCATTTATCTGATAAGTGACAGGGATAATTTGTTTATATATTTCTCTGCATCAAAATCTACTTTAAGGATGTATCAGTTTAAAATCCCCATTTTAGGTGGGATTTTCTTTTTCTTGTTAAGTTCCTCAAGTGCATTGTATGTTTTATGAATCCTACATCAGATGAGGTGGCCAGATATTTTCCTCAGTTGTTTGGTTGTGTCTATATTCTGGTCGTCATTTAATTTACATTGATTGGGTCATTTAAAACAGAAAGACTGACAACAAAAAGCATTAAATAGGTAAAAACTTTGGCTCCACATTAATCCCCAAATAATTAGGTTATGTGAGGGAATCTGAAACAAGAAGACAGAGATCATGTGTTTGAAATCAACAGAGACTAACTGCTTGTTGGCAACACAAAAAGCTTGTCATGAGCTGACCACAATCACGAACAGAAAGTCACCTTTAATGTTGGGTGCAAAAACAGTCTAGAGAGTCACTGAGTCCTCAGGTAGAATTGTGATCAATGTGGGTAGATAACTGTAGGTTCAGAGTCAGTACACACCTCACCTATCTAGAGCACAGGGCCTCAGTCAGCCTCTGTGCACACAGGAAGGTCCTAGGATGTGGTTCCTCATTCCACAAGCATAAGGCGAAACAAAATCGACTCTGGACTCATTCCACACTGCCTTCTCAGACAGACACTAGGGTTCAGAACTTCCTCCTCAGACTAAGATGAGCCCGAGTACTTTTTGTGTTTCCTGGAAAACCAAAAGCATCAACTAGTGGAGATGATCATAGTCATGTTCACGACAGCACCACGTAGAGTAGCCAAGATGCACACACAGCACTCATCTGCAGTAATCTCTTCTTGTGTTTCCTTATTCAGCCATGGAGCCCATTCTTTCTCTCCTTCAGTTCTGTTTGAAGGACAGTGATCATTGTTTCCTTCCTTCTCTCACTGAGACACCTGAGTATCCCTGTCTGTATTTTTTCAGATCAGAGAGCACTGAGAGGATTGATGCTCTCCACACACCCACAGAGCATCGGATGTTCTGATGTTCTTACCTGGATTCAGTTCACATCCATTAAACAATAGAATCATATTTTCAATATTCCTGGTGCTCTATGGGATCTAACAGTGTAAGTGCCGGGTGGTCTGGGCACGGACTGGGTGAAGTTCCTCACTCTATTCAGCTAGGGCTGTGACTCTAGTAAATTCTGGCAGCCACAACGCCCGTGGTCTTTTCTTTATCGGCCTGGGAGGGACAGATGTCGGGTAGCCAGAATAACTGTGGGTTCTAGTGCAAATGGTTCCTCACTGGAACCTGTGACATTCCCTGGGGAACAGGCTTTCAATAATATCATGAAGCAAGAGAAATTAGCCCATGAATTTCAGGAATATAAAGCTTTAGTCCAATAGTATTGAATAGAGAGCCCAGAATAAATCCTTAGATCTTTTATGGTAAATCTTTGGGAAAGGATTTCATCCTATGAAGTGAAGCAAGAAAATCTCTTTTAAAAATGCTGTTAGGAAAACAGCACCACAAACAAAAACAACAAGAGAACATAGACTTGAATCCTTATCTCACACCAGATACAGAATTTAATGAAACTTGGCTTATGGTGCAGCTTTGACAGCAGAATCCTTAAAACACAGGAAAAGCTTGGCCGGTCTCTCCATGACATTAATCTTTGAGGGCTCATCTATAGTTTCATTCCATTGGCAGAGATCTCTTGATCACTTGATCTCTTGACATCACGTTACTCATCAATTTGCTTGAGCAGGCACCATTAATGTCTTCATTCATCCTTGTCGCATGCTAGTGTAGCCCAATGGCGCCTGCTTCTTCCAGGAACACGAAGAGCTTCAAACCGATCATTCATGGTCTTGACGAAGAAGTTTGACCATCACGTAGGTGGGCAGCCACGTGATCTTTTGACGTCCCGTGGAATCCAGTCGGTAATGGCAAAGAGATGGCAAACTAAAATCAATAAATTGAACTAAATCAATTAAAGGATTTTACTGTCAATGTAAATGACATTAAAATTAAGTTACCCTACTGAATGAGAGAAAACATGTACTCACCAAACATCATATCCAACCTAGTATCTAAGATATTCATAGCACTCACCAAGCTCAACATCAGAACCAATCACCCATCATAAAATGGTGTGGGAAATAAACAGATTCCTTCCTAAAGCAACATTACAATGGGCTTTAAGCATATGAAAAGTTGTTTATCAACACTAATGATGCGAGATATGTTGATATAAAGTACACTGCAGACCGTATCTCCCCAGTGAGTATAGCTTATATAAAAATACTGGAAACAACCAGTATTGGAAGGTTGCCAAAGGGAACAATGTTTCTATGTTTGTGGGAACAATCTATAGAAAACACTATGAGATTTCTCTAAAGAGTGAAAACAGAATTTCCAAGTTACAAGTGATTCTATATTTGGTAACTTCACCCAAGCATGAAAACACTCATTAGAGAAAATACATGTAAACATATGTCGGTTATA